CACACACACACACACACACACACACACACACACACACACGCATATATGGAGCAGAATGAGTGCAGAAGATGAATAGATAGAAGACAGGTAATCAATGGCTGCTAATAAAAAGAATAGAAAAGACAGCAGTAAAGTAAAGAAATGTGAGTGAATATGAAAATGACTCCTCAAGCTTTTTAACTGTAAAGCTGCAGTTCATAATTTTATGTAAGCTTATTTTTTTATATTAGCAGTGGTATTTGCCTTTTGTTTATGTCATAAAACTATGTTGTAATAGTTATTGCTGACCTCTGCTTTTCAGTTTATTTTACCAGCAGCCGTCATCTTTTTGTTGATTTTTTTTCGGTTGTGACGGACCATGTTTGGTTTTATTTATAGGTGGCATTTATGCTTCCACCCAAAAAAATGCTGGCGAATAAAATCAACCGCGAAAACTAAACTGTGTATGTGAAAATTGTTTCATTTTAAAAAACATTGATTTATCCAGAAACGCTACCACTGCGGCGATATTGAGGTTTTTCAGTTACCCACTGAAACCTTTCCTGGAAATGGAGAAGCTTTTGACACACTGCGGTGTTTTCATTGGCCTCTTCATAGCTTAACAAATGAAACTACCTGTGTGATTAAATAGTCGTGTAAGTGCAGGTGAAACAATCCTCATACAGATGAGGACAGAATTCGACTGCAGTTGTTACTTGTAGTTCTCAACGAGCCCATTTCTCTTTGGTGAATCTCTCGACTTCCTCCAAATTTGGTGGTGTTCCAAGATGGACCTTGGACTTTAGTTCATCCCACAGATTTTCAATAGCATTCAAGTCCGGCCTTTGTGCAGACCAGTCAGTAACGCTTACTTTGGTTCTTCACCAGGAGTGTTTGTTCACGTATATTTTGAGTCATTGCCATGTTGGAAGATCCAGACCCAGTTTTTCTGCTTACTGCTCGAGGGGTTTTTTTTCAAAATCATCACATATTCTTCTTTCTTCATGACTAGACACAATGAAGAATCGCACAGCATAATACTCCCACCACTGCTGTGGGGGCTGTGTTCTTTAGGTTGTACACCTCTTCCTTTTTCTCTCCAAACATAAGCAGCATCTTTGTGGCCAGAGAGTTTCAGTTTAGTTTCATCCGATCAGACGAACTTGCAGTATGCGTCCAGGTTGTGGAATGAAGTTCTTGGTTCAGCCTCTGAGTCTATACAGGTTCTGTACAGGGTTGTGGTGATTGTCCTGTCCTCTACAATTCCTATTTGGCTGAGTCCTTCACTCGTGTCCTGGCAGTTGCTCTGGGGTCTTTAGTCACATCTCTCGCTACTTTTCTTTCTAGTCTTTGAAGTCTTGTTTCCTACCTCTGCGAGGGTTGTTCTGTACTCTGTGACTGTCTTTGAATTTCTTGATATTACTTCTCTTTCCAGTTCTTGACACTTTGAAACACTTTGAAACACTCTAATCATTTTGTATGTTCATCTTCTGCTTTGTGACCATCAACAAAGTCTAAACTGATTGCTTTTGTTTTCGGCATGATGCTGTCTCAGCTTTAAAGAAAATGCTATGCTGAAAATCCCTTGCTCTTTTATAAAAGCACTTGGGAAATTTTTGACAAATTCGAATTTCATTGAAATTTCTAAACTTTATTTAGCGTAACCCCCTCTCTTTATTTGTCCTCCCCAGTGTAGGGATTTCAGTTTCATCTTGAATGTAAATTAGTCGCTTCTTTGGAGGACTACCTGGTTATGCTTCCTATAATTTTAACTCGCAAAAATAGATCCAGACAAAAAAAACACATCAGAGCTCGACAGAAATAGAAGATAAAAGCAAGAAGAAGAGGCAGTGTGAGTCAGAGGGGTTTACTGAAATAGACCAAAGGAGAAGAAGAAAACATAACAGGGCTACAAATAGTGCGGCATGTCATTAACATGGGAAAGCATGTTCTATGTACAGAAACAATAAAAACCGTCTGCGCTGACTCACGCTGTTTTTTTAGCCCCTCCCCTGTTTGTTTCTTCCCGCTCTGCTGTGTTTTCTCTCTCTTGCACGCCGTCTCCTTTTCCTCGCTGTCTGCATAAATGAGATTTCAAACGATCTTTGATTTCAGCTTAACTGAAGTATCATCTGACACCAACCAGTTACAATATCTCCCCATCACTGTTGTAAACGTCTCCTCTGTTTGATCTCCTGTCTCCTATAAAGGCTTTATGGTACCAGCTCCCCTACCACACACACACACATTTATTTCTTTTTTTCTTTCTACCCAGGGTACCGAGAGGGGTTTCTATGGAAACGAGGAAGAGACAACGGTCAGTTTCTCAGCAGAAAGTTTGTCCTGTCAGAGAGGGAGGGAGCGCTGAAATACTTCAACAAGCAGGATGTAAGAAACACGATACAGCCAATAGCAGAATTTCTCTTTGGTGCACAGCAGCCATACTGAGGAATGTGAGACTTTTACAATTCATTGTTTACCCCTGCTCCTGTCAAGGCCAGAGATCCCAAGGCAATAATGAAAATAGAAACCCTCAATGCCACCTTCCAGCCTGCCAAGATTGGCAACCCCTGCGGACTGCAGATCACCTACCTGAAAGACAACAGCACAAGGAACATCTTTGTTTACCACAGCGACGCCAAGGTACGCACGTGCATGTATTACACACATTTCTGCACAAGTAACTCCAAATTACTATGTACACTAAAATGACGGGCTTCTGCTTCTCACGCGCGGAGCTTTAAAAATAGCACAGAGGAGATCTGTGGCCTCAAAAGATGACTCTGATGGCAGAGTGCAGACTTTAATTTGAGGACACTATGCCTTAGATTATGAACAAAGCACAATACTGTGCAAAAGTCTTTGCCCTCCATCATTTCTTTATATTTTGCTAAGAATCTGGAAAATAGGGAGTTTGTACAATTCTAACAAGCTTGAAAGTCTCCACCACAGCCTGGAGTGTCTTAGGCAGCTTTCTTTCAGTCTTCAGGAACAGTTCTCCACGCTTCTCCAAGGACATTTAAAGCTTCTTTGTTTTTTAGTTTTTATTGGAGAGAAGACAGAAAACCTGGGAGAAAGACCAGAAGGAGAAGGCCTTGGGGCAAATTTAAACCAGGCTTCTGCATCACCATTAATTCAGTTTAAATAAAGTGAATTGTACAACATGTTCTCATCCAAATCGTTGGTGTGTTTCGCGTTTGGAGGCATGACAGCCTTTGAAATAATAATAATAATAATAATAATAATAATGATAATAATAATAATAATAATAATAATAATAATACATTTTATTTGAAAGTGCCAAGACATCCAAGGACACTTAACAATAGAATAAAACACATAATAGAACAATGACAGAAGAAAAATAAGAAAACAAGAGCACAAGATAACGTACACAAACAACAGGTTCACAGTGAATATGCAGAGTTGAAAAGATGGGTTTTGAGTAGGGATTTAAAATGGAGGAGAGAATCAAGGTTTCTTATACAGTGGAACCCCAACTTACCAAATTTATTCGTTCCCGAGGGTCTTTCGTAAGTCGAAGCACCCATCGCGCCTTTTGAGTGAACGATAGGCTAATTGCTAACGGCAACAACAATACGTCGTTTATTAAGTGGAACAGCGAAGCGCAAGTACAAAAGCCACGGGGTTGTCACATGATTCGGACGGCATTGTAGGCATTCTAGGCTCAGCCAATCAGAGCCAGCAGATTTCATAACACGGGCATTTTGCCGTAACACGGGCAGAAATATTGCCGTTCAGTGCCTTCGTAACTTGAATTTTTCGGGGGTATTCGTAAGTCGGCGTTCCACTGTACCTGGGGTAGAGAGTTCCACAGCCTGGGAGCAGAGCAGCTGAAGGCCCTGCTTACCATGACGGTGAGGCGGAAAGAAGGCACAGCAAGCTGAACAGAAGACGAGGGTCGAAGTGAGCGGGCAGAAGAGAGGTAGGGAGGAGCGAGGTTATGAAGGACCTTGAAGGTGACCAGAAGAAGTTTGTACACTATCTGGAATTTCACACGGAGCCAGTGAAGTTCCTGGAGAACAGGGGTGATGAATGAATTTGTACATGTACCTTTGTTTTACGTTCTGATCATGAATCACTTTGGAAAACACTATCTGATAGGGTTAAGGTTAGGGTTAGGGCTCGGACTGGAATGGACGGCTGGAGCCTCTGCTCTAAGCATGTGTTACCGCCTCAAACGCCATTCTATTGGATTCAATTGACAATCCGGAGCGTCTCATAGTAACGCGAAATGTACCCTTCCGCGTCCTTATGAGATGCCTCGGGCTGTGATAAATCGTCAGTATGTTACGCGTTGGGAATGAGAATTCTCTGGACCTTTATTTATATAGCTCCAAATCACAACAGCAGGCACCTTAAGGTGTTTTATATGGTAAGGTAAAGGCAGTATGTGGGTCACCTGCACAGCCCAATGAGAAAAACCAGGACACAACGTTCATAGATTGGTCATCTTCTGAACATAGTGTTTTAGGTTTGCCACTTCTTCTTTTGTCCATTTTTCTTAAAGCCACACCATGATGAGATATTCCAAGTTTTCAGCGAATTGCTTTTTGAGAATCATCATCTTGGTTTAATTATACTATTTTATATTTGTCCCATTGTGTTATCTTTGCCATTTTTCAGATTTTTTAACAAATTCTGCACTTTAGTGACAGGCTGCTGGAAACAAAGTGTCTAAAAATACAATTAGTTCTTTGCTAAGCTGTCTGTTCTGTGTCGAAAGAACACTCGTGCGTTTCCTTGAGCTTTGCTTTTCATGCTTGCATGATTCATAAGTCAGTGTTAAGTGGCTTAACAACAACAACAACAAAATATTGCGCTGAAAACATTCACACCACTTTTTTAAAAATTGCAATAATGTTTACCTCCTTGGAAGCAAAATGTAAAGAAATTAGGGGCAAATCTAGACTTGTGCACAGTCCTGGAAGCAGCCAGTTGTTCAAAAACTAGGATGTTATATTAAGATGAAAATAGCTGTGATCGCTACAGTTTTGCCTGTTATCACGAAATGAATTAAATCAGTCAGAATGCACTGAGTGCGCTCCACCTGCTAGGCTTATTAACCTTAATTAAAACACAAGCATTTACATCAAATTAAATCTTAACTTTTAACTGTTATTTTAATATGATTTGATACTGAAATGATGACAACAGTAAGCACCTGCACATATTTATGGGATTTCAGACCTAGTGAGAGAAAAACGTGAAGAGGCCTCGAGTCCTGGGGAGTAATGAATCATTCTAGTTGTGAAATCATGTTTTGTCTGGTTGGTCTGGCTATAGCTGCTACAGACACCAGCGCTGAAGCTAGTGCTGGATTAGCCAGTTGTTATACCAAAGGTGATGAAATATGCCAGTTGTAATACAAAATCAAAGCCATGTTCTTAGACAAAAGCGTCGAGTGTCAACTTCCTAAAATGCAGCCACACCTGTTGCTTGATTGAGGGTCAGAACATTTGAATCTGACTCTGAGTAAATGTTAAGGACATGCAAATAGTGAGTAATGTTTGCAGGCTCTCTTAGGTTAGGCCAGTTCATTGTTATTAAGGTGCAGGGTGTGTTCACAGGTGTTGTAGCCCTTCCGCTCCCAGAGGTAACGGATCAGTCCAATAAAGCTCCTGACAGGCATTTTTCTTCTCATAAAAGTAAATGGATGGATGATGATGTCTGCACACACTAACCCGCCCCTCTGCCCAACACCCACACCCTGATCTGCCACTGCTGCTGGTCACATAGATATCATTTGGAAAAACTGTAAAATATCGGCACTGAGCATAATCTGTGACTCCTTCTTCCTCTGTATACAGTTATCCAGTGGTTAGAGCATTTTAAATGTTTTTGTTTGTATGACCAACAGTAGGCCTTCACCGGCCACTTTATTAGGCACACATTAGAAGGACTTTTGCCTTAATTCCTAATGGGGTAGATTCATCTAGTCCTGCAAACATTCCTCAGTGATTTTGTTTCATGCTAACATGACAGCATCACACAGCGTTTGCACGCAGTGATGTAACTCTCCTGCTCCACCACATCCCAAAGGTGCTGGCTTGAGATCTGGTGATTGTGGAGACCATTAGAGTCCAGTGAACTCAGTGTCACGTTCAAAGAACCAGTTTGAGATGATTTGAGCTTTTTAACGTGAAAGCAGCTATCAGAAGATGGCAACACTGAGGTCAAGGGATGGACGTGGTTAGCAGAAATTCTCAAATGGACTGTGGCATTTAAATGATGCTCAGCTGGTACTAAAGGGCCTAAAGTGTGCTATTACAGGACCATCACCAGCCTGAACCGTTGATACAATAATGAGCAGCTGAACAAGTATACCTAATAAAGTGGCTGTGAATGTGTAAGATAGTGATAGAGCTCTTAGACACTGCAGTAAATATGGTATCGTAAGCTATGGTTGCCCAATGATCAAGCCACACGCTGAAAGATACAAACAAACACCGTTAGCTTACTGAACAACACAAACAGCCATATCTGACATCTTATAGCCCTGCTATGTGTAAGATAAGCTGTCCATCATTACACTTCCTCCCTGAATACAATTCTGCACTTCAACCTTTAAACTGACGGTGTGTGTTCCTGAGAGTTTTACACTGCTGAGCCTCACGTTGCTGCTACGTTACTGGGATTTGGGGCTGAAGCAGAATTAGAGGGAGACATAATCAAAGCTGAACAGATGAAAGAGAAGAAACGGAGAGGTTTTAAAGCCATTTGGTGGAGTAAGAATGACAAAGGGTGCACTGCTCCCTCTGCTGGTGCATTACAGTTCCTGCCTGCTGTCACAGGAAGGGTTCACTGGGTTCATTCAGCATCCCTGTCACTCTCACGTTTTGTAGCGGATTTATCGACAGCGCTGCAGCTTCCACGCAGCAACGCACGCCTTGGAATTCATTCTGCTGTGTGTGACAGATACCTTCATCCAAAATCTGTTTTATTTACTCAGAACAGAAATGACGGATTAGAATGAATAAGATATGAAGTGTGGCAGGGCATGGTACCACTGAGAGAGCTTTTTGTCCTTTGCAGGAGATGGTCGACTGGTTCAATGCTATCAGAGCTGCCAGGTTCCACTACCTGCAGGTTGCCTTCCCGGGAGCGAGTGACGAAGAGGTGAGGATGGTGTGATTTAAGCATGCGCATCACTGTTACTGAGCTTATAGTTTCAAAAAATAAACAGCATTCTCAGAGGTGTCTGTTCATGATGCTTTTCTACTGCATGGCAGTCTTGACGCCTCTGATCCCACTGCACATGTCCATGCTGAAATAAGGGCAGTTTTTAATATTTCATGCATGCTTTTTCTTTTTTCTTTACATGATTCTCTTTTGTCTATTTGCTGCTCCAGCTGGTGCCCAAACTGACCCGAAGCTTTATGAAGGAAGGCTTTATGGAGAAAACGGGTCCAAAGGTTGGTGCTGTAGTCATCCCTCTATAGTGAACTAAGGATGATAGTATCAGTTACACCTGAGTTTCAGTGTTCAGGTGACCTAAATATGGCCAAAGTGTCTCCAGGTTCAGAGTAGTGCATTGGTTCCTAATCTTTTAGCCTCCTGGTTTCTTCTGCTGGAATTATTTTTAAGGTTATGGAGGCTCAAGGGAGTAAATCTGTTCAGAATTCTGCAATAAAAAAGTAAACATTAGCGATTACAATTATTGTTCTTCTTTCTCATTCTGTGAACCATTACAACCATAAACCAGACTGACCTAATTAAGTCTGAGTCATGCCTAAAGCTAAGGCTAGCTGTGTTGTAAATTGTAATTAATTATTTAAGAAAATATTTGAAAGTTTGAAAATGCAGTAGTGAAAGTGATGGAACAAATGCAGATTTCATTAACTGTATATAAAAGATGGGCGTAATTTGTCAGTCTGAAAATGAAAGGGAGTTAAAATGCATTCTTTCTAATGACCAGCAGGGGGCGACTCCTCTGATCATAGCATATATTATAAATATTAAAAAGTTACTTATTAATGTTGTCGGGTGAAGCTGGAATTTTGACTTTCATTAAAACCTGACCCGATAAGTGAAGGGTGCATGAGGCTAAGAAACTTGGGGACAGTGTACACTCATAGGCTAGCTACTTGTCAATTATAAAATCGAGTCACCCAAAAATCAAACCGGGAACATTGTTTACAAAATAAGCTTCATGTTGTATCCAAAAAGATTTGGAGCTTTATTGCTTGGTTCTCCCATTTGGATTTAGGTTGCTCCAAAAGCACGCTAGTGCACTCTCCCTACCCACTCACCCTACTGACTACACCTGCTATTGTTGGATTAAGTTTCTCTCCAGTATTTCTTTTATTGAAACAAACAAGGTATTAATTGCCTTTGGTGTTCTTATCCCTTGTTGCCAAAGCTGTGTAGACCCAGTTTTTTGTAGTCACTTCCTGTTGACCATTTGAAAGAATGGCTTTCACTTTTTCAGACCAGGAAGCTCCATCCATCCTTTGTATACAGTCTATAGGTTGCAAGAAGAAGTATGGCTGTGTAGGAGTCATCTGCTCGCTCAATTTATTTTCTCAAATGGTCTCAGATACTAGTTTGGTTTAATACAGCATGATGGTGACTTTGTTAAAGTGAAACAAACGACGAAGCAGAATATGATTTAGGGCGTGGCTACTTTGTGATTGATGCTGCAGCATTTTTCAGTTTCTCAGTAAGACCCAACAATTGTTAATGACATCTTGACATCTGATTCCACAAAACGGTACTTGACAGCCTAATAGTTCGAGTCACAGTGGCTATGTAATCTTTTATATACAGTATGTATTATAAAAGCTAAAAACTAAAGAAGAAATTTTGGAGCTTTTTTCTCCCTCGTGGTAAAATTATGATTGTTTTTTCTTTACCTGTATTTGAAGCAGTTTCTTTGAGTTTAGGGAGGAGTGAGTATTGCAAGTTGCAACAAAACTTCATCTTCATGTCTTATGATAAGTGACAAAATGTGCGTTTGTCTCCCTCCTTTCAACAAATGTACTGTCTGTCTTACTCTGCGTTAGCACACTGAGGGCTTCAAGAAGAGGTGGTTTACGATGGATGACAGGCGGCTCATGTATTTCAAAGACCCTCTGGTAAGAAGAGCGCTGCATCGACCCAACCTTTTGATTTGGTTCATTTGTGGCTTGCTTAGTTTGTCTTTCTGTCCCTCAGGATGCCTACGCCCGCGGGGAGGTGTTCATCGGCAGCAAGGAGAACAGCTACACTGTCCTGGCTGGCTTGCCTCCGTCCACACAGGGCTACCACTGGAACCACGGCATCACCATCGTCACGCCAGACAGGAAGTTCCTCTTTGCCTGTGAGACCGAGGCCGAGCAACAGGACTGGATAGCCGCTTTCCAGAGGGTCATAAATCGACCAATGAGGCCACAGGAGTACGCAGGTCATTAAGTAAAACATTAGAGTCCTAAAATGGTTTATTTATTTTTTTGCATGTTTTGTTGTGGGGGAAAGGGCATGTGTAAAGCTTTAAAATCCTACCATTATATACGGACTATAAGCGAAACACGAAAAAAAATGAATTTCCTGTTACTGAAAGTCGTTTTCTCTGTGTCCCTGCAGTGGAGGCCCATTTCAAACACAAGCCTTGAAATCTGCTGGAAACCAAGCGCTCAACTGGACCAGCCCGGTCTCATTCAGATCAGAGACGGCCCCAGGGTGCGACCACTGACCATGGCTAGAAGAGGCGGGGTGGGTCTTATGGGTCACGAGGGGTTTTAGGGATGGGCCGAGATGGGAAAACACGAAGAAAGGAAAGGAAACACCGGCAGGACTCCAGTCTGTCTCGTGTACGAAGCCTAAAACTCTAACGGGACTCGAGGCCCCTCATGGCCAAGGGTAGATGATGTCATCACTCTTGCGCTTACCAACCTTGTGTTGTACATTATCACATCAGAAACCCTTTCCTCTCCTCTCCTCAGCCATGTGGACCCTTCCCCTTGCAACAAGCTCCTCCTCCCCCTTCCCACCCAGAATTTTTTGTCTTGTGAATGGTTCATTCTGTCTGTAATCTAATGTAATTATGTAATCTAGAGTCATTTCACTGGTTGCTTAACAAAGACAATGCATTGTTAATTTATTGAATGTACAGTTTTGATGACAGTGGCTTATTCTGTGTGCGTGCGACGTTTTTCATTGAGGACACTGTGAGGTTGAACCTCCCGCACTAAAACCCTGGTAAACCTGAAATCTGCAAAGTGCTGTTAACAACAAATATGCATACGAAACACACAAACATACACACAACAATCTCTCAGTGAGCACCTCTGCTGTTTCGGCAGCACGAGGTGGCATATCTGCATCCAGGCAGGGTTACCTTTCAAACCTCAATCTGACAGATGTTCTCTTATTTATTTGTACTGTTGAACATACTGAGTCATCGTAGACGGTTATCGCTGCTTTCCAGGATTGTAATGTGACAGGATTGTAATTTATATGACACTTCTACAGACGTTTCGTTTAATCTTTGCATCTTGTTTTAAAGACACATGGTTGTGTTGATCCTTAAATCACAGTGATAGTTTGTTTCATTATAAAATCAATACAAAGGATCCTGAAATGAGCTGCCGGTGTTTTGGATTGTCCTCCGTGTTCCCTCTTCTCTGTTGTCTTTCAACAGTTTTCCACACACTGATCCATCTGCTGTTGCTTTCAAGTAACCTTGAATCCTGATTGGTGCACAAAAGTCTAAACTAAACCATGGCTGACAACAATACACAAATACACCTGTTGAAAGTACTGTCTTTTTGAGCATGGCTGCCAGTGCTCCCCAATTCTTCCACTAGGTGGAGCTCTTTTATCACCCCGCCACTGCTCACAGGGCGATGTGAATCATGTGCGAGCATGTGGGGGACATTAATGTAAACTGAAGCAGTTTGTACAAACAGATGGCAAAAAAAATAGACTGACACTTTAGTCCAGAAGGATACTACACTGCTGGGAAATTACTGAAAGAGAGTTAGAGATCCATTCTCTTAACTTACAGACAAAACATACAAAGTCCACGTCGTGAACAGCTACTGGACCTTCTTGCTCTGAGGCAGCAGTGTTAACCACTGTCAGAGTGAGAGGTAGTTTTATATTGAAATCGACACATCCTTATGTGTCTCTGGTGTCACAGGTAAAATATAATAATATAATCATATATTCTCTGACCGCTTGGAAAATGGTTGCAGAAGGTTGCTGGCTGTCATTCAGGGAAAACTTTCTGCTTTGGTTATTAGTCACAGTTGCCCATAGTTTGCATGGAAGACCCTTACTCATCTGCAAACACAAACACAATGCTAGCCAATCGTACAAACCAGAGAGCATTCAAAGTAACGTTTACTTTAAAGCCAGACGGTCTTTGTTTCTGGCTTATGACACACTTTTTAGAGTTTCACTAGCTCCTGTGTATTTCCGTGCTAACTGTGGCAATCTGTTAGCAGACAAAATAATCAGCAACCAGGCGGGAAATGCACATTTTTTTCCTTGCAACCAGTGGTTGCACTGATATGTGTGAATATATATCGATTTCAGAGCAACTACCACCAACCTCCAGCAACCACTTGCCAACCGGTCAGGGAGCACAACAATTTTCTCATAGTTTTGAGATGGTTGTCGACTGTTCTCTAGGCTGGTGTGTGACTTGGACTTCATTTACTTGACCCCAGACTGTTACACATCTGAAACAGTGGAACACTTAATATCATATGGTTACTGACCACGTGACTACAAAATCAAAACTGATTATTCGATTGGTAAAAGCTTGGGTGACATTTTTAATTGATGACATATTTTATTAAAATCATTAGAAGCTCAAACGCTATTTGAGAGTTAGCCTAGTTCTTGAGCTCCCAATTTGAAAAAAAAATGATACAAAGAGGTAGAAGCAGGGGGTGAGAAGCCTTAAAAAAAATAACCTTGAAAGTTATTGAGTAGGAAAGTCAATTTCTGGTGTTGTTTTTTTCCACTATTTTTTTTTTTTTTTTGGAGAACTTCAGAAATCCCAGCTTCACAGTTGCCATCGAATGCAACACTATACCCAGAGCCAAGGGTGGTGTGAATATGCTCATGTCTCTCTTAGTGAGAAAGCAAAATGTCATAATTCCCCTCATGTGGACCTACTTAAGACATATACTCATCACAGGGATCACTGAATGAAATGATAGATGTTCAGTTCCCTCCTTTAAACTCAAATAAACAGCCTGAATTTTCAAGTGACATGTTAGAAGCTCAGTTTGTTTTACAGTGGATGGGGCTCACTGGTCAGCAGCAAATGGAGCTTGGCATGTGTGAAGTTGCACACTCACCACAGAATAAAGACTTAACTGAAGGTCTGTTGGTGCAAATGTCACCTGATGATCTCGCCACTCTTCCACAAACGTCCGCACGTTGGCTCCAGGGCTGTACGCACATGTGAATAAATCAATGTCTCTTCTGTCTGGCGCCCTTGTTGTCGTTGGCACCTGGGTTGTCACGGTAAACTGCTGAGACAGGGAGCCACTGAGCTGCAGCAGCCGGCTCAGACCCACACAGGAAGTGTTTAAAAACGGGTGTGTTTGTCCTAAAGATACTACGGTCACTGAGTGGCTGGAACATGTGGCAAACATTCATTCTCAGTGAACCTGCGGCTTCACAGCACTGCAGTCCTTACATGGACGTAATAAGCACAACCTCAGCTTCATTTTTGGTTATTTTTTATTGTCAGTATAGCAGGTCTACACAGCCATTGAGTGTAGGACTTGTTTTTACCCACATTTCTTTCTTCTTTAATAATTTGTGTGTTTCTTGTGTGGTGCCTCTGTGAAAACCTCACCCAGCTGTCCCGCCTATCAAACCTTGTGGCTGACGGACAGGACAGCCGCAGCTTGGACTGTGAAATTAACTAATCTCCTCACAGGAAACTCAGCAGGAGCAGCTGTCACAGTGGAAATGAAGCAGCAGGAGGGACCGGGTCTGCAGAGAACAACTGATAGGACCAAGAGGGGCTTCAAAACTCCTGCTCACAGGTACAACTTCCTTTTACGTAAACTACAAATTCGGCAAAACATCTTTTATTTTGTCCAACTATCATACATAACCACGAAATGCAACACATGCTATACCAAACAGTTAAGCAGGCGTGGGCCTTTAAGGCTTGCAGGTCTCCTGTTTTTAATCTAATTAAGAAAAGTTACAATCTCCTGGTCATGTCGATGTAAATCACATTCTTACTGGTGAAGGAATAAGAAGCCCTTTGGAAACGCGTCACTTTCCAAGTGACTTTAATAAAAGTGTATAAAAATTAGGAAACTATTTAAGTTTTAGTGTGGAAAAGTGTTATAAAACGCCCTGTCTGAAATAGGTGCTACTTTCATGCTGAAATTTCATTAGTGTGGCATTTCAGTGGAACATTTTGGTGTCCAGGGCGGGTTTAAATGTCACTCTGCAGGTGTTTGTACTCAAAGTGGACAAAAACGCTAACGTTTTTTTGCCTGAAAATCAACAAATGCAGCAATATATGACACACTATGTGAGTTACGGCCGGCAATGATCATCAATGTTCAAATATTTTGGTCTGTTAGAAGTCAGTCTATATGGCTATATATTTTTGTCTTCTTCAAGGCCTGGTGAGGGTCGTATAGATGGGCTGCTCCCAGCCAGAGGGAGGACTATGAGTAGGTGGTGCCAAGGCCAGGCTGTTGATCAGTGGGGTGGTGTAAGACCTGCGGGAGGAATGAAAGTATGGGTACTGATACAGGCTGGCGGGGTAACCAGAGAAAGCGCTGTAGAAGCTGGAGTTTTGAAGGTCGGTGTAGTCTGACTGGTTGGCAGACGAGGAGGTGGTAGGGGTGGAGGAAGGACAGACGCCCGAACCCAGGGATGTATACTCAGGTTGGTGTGACGGTGGTGGAGGACTTGAGGAGTTGTAGTGACCCGGGCTCATCCGCTCAGTTTTAATCTGAGGTTTTTGGCCGCCATCCTTGTGCAGCCCGTCGGTCTCACAATTGGAAGAGGGTAGTGGCATTCCAGCGGAAGTCCCACCAGACATTTTGGACGTCCAATTTTGGATGTTGGGAGTGTGACAGTCGGTGCTGGGTGGGATGAAAGTACCGGAGGGGTTGTTGGTGTCTGGCGGGGTTAGAACAGTGGCACCGTGGCTGTTTGGAGGCAGGTACTGGTCGAGCTCGTGAACGTCGAAGGCGTCGATGGTGCCGATGACGTCAGTGCTGAGCTCAGAGATGTCTACGTTACTGAAGTCAATGTTCTGACGGTTGGGAGGAGGAGCAGCGCTGGAGCTCAATGTGTCCACAGACTGATGGTTCTCGTGTTTGGGTCCCATGTGCAGGTCTGTTTTAGGGGTGGTGGGAGGTGTTGGAGGCCCGTGAGACTGACCTGGAACGCAAAATCAAGTGAACCTTAATCAGCTTTTTCACATTTAACTAAAAAAAAAAAGGGAAAAGAAACGAAACGAGTATCACAGTGTCATCACCTGTTCTGTCTGAATGGTAATGCTGCTCCACTTCCCCTGTGCCAGCCAGCCTGGCCACACCCGGGTCCATTTTATACAAGCCCTGCTTCTGCTGCTGCTGTTGGACCAGCGCAGGTCTGCAGTCGCCCTGGTCCGGTTTATTGCTCTTGCGTCTCCGAGGCTGGTACTTATAGTCTGGGTAGTCTTTTTTGTGCTGCAGCCTCAGCCTCTCGGCCTCCTCAACAAAGGGACGTTTCTCTGTTTCAGAGAGAAGTCTGAGGAGGACAGGGACAAGTCAGAGAACAACCGCTGGCGTTTCAAACACAGCAGGAAGCAAAAAACCCCAAAAAAACCTCAAAAACACAGACAGACTCCTTGCTTCTTTCATCAGTGATGTCAATAACTACAGTTATTCACATAAGTAATCACATAAGAACTCTATACATGTTACAGTTTTGTGTATTTTCCATTTCATTCTACTTTATATGAATACTCCATCACAGAAATACCCACTTACATACTTACTTACATAAGTGCATTAACGCAGGACTTCTTTATTTTACTTAAATAAAGAATATGAATATTTCCTTTTCTTAAAAAATCTACAGTTACTGAGACATGAAAGATGAAGTTGTTTTTTTGTACTGTACAGATAAAGCCACAATGAAGTGGTTCCTCAGTGTGTATTACCACAACCACAAAATGATATTCCCGCCATAATAGCTTTGTTTATGCACAATCTGCAGGTTTTCTCTCATTTTACTGGAATTCTTTCTTGTTTTTGTTTGTTTCAGTGAATAAAACAGGCCTGTCATGATATTAGATTTACATTACATAATCGTGGTAATGAAAAAAAAAGGGGGGGAACACACAGTAACATAGTAATTTAAAAAATCTATTGAATTCTACAAAAATGCAGATGCATGGAGGAGTCCAGAGTCTGTAACTCCAGAGATCAGTCATGTTTAGTCAGTGTTTCAGTACTGTGCAGGTGCTCATCAGATGAAACTCAGGTGTACTCACCGCCACAGCTTTCCCAGCGTCTTGCTGAGCTCAGCGTTGTGCAGATGTGGATACTGGTCCGCCAGCTTCCTCCGCGCTGCCTGCGCCCAAACCATGAACGCGTTCATAGGCCGTTTCACGTGAGGTTTACTCTTCAGCCCCCTCTCCCCCAGACTGGGCACAGGCACCAGCGACCAGTCGTAACCTTTTAGCACCTGCGACACAGCGTCGCGAATGCAGGTGGGGAACCGCTCGTCTTCCGAGCAGCTCTCCAGTTTGGGCGTAATCCCGGGCGGGCGCGCTGCCTCCTTCGCTTCGGGCCTTACCGGAGAGGCCGGAGACTCTGAATCCGATCCATGCTGGGACGCAGACCCGTCGGTTCCCGCTGGACTGCATGCCTGCTGTGACAATGGCTTGTTCTCCTCAGTCATGTTTGGTGCTGCAAAGATCTACTGACCCCCACCCTCCAAAATCCCAAAGAGCTCTCTAGTTGCGTAAAGGCGCGCGCCTTTGTAGAAAGAGTGTAACCCCGCGTAAATAACCAAAATCCCGGATTTGGTCTGTTGAATTTTTCCATTCCGTCTCACATCCTCCTCCAGGACCAGGCAAATGTTGACGAGGGACGGTTACATTCTACTCTTTGTAGCACTTTAGAGCTCATGTCACTCCACCCCTCTTGTCCTATTGGCTTGTGCAAAGCTTGAGTTTCTTCAGAGCCCCTGAGTAGTTAGTCGAGTGCTGTGATACTGCACACTTTGGTATCCAAGTAAATCCAAGGCCAGTACTGATACTAATACTGACTCTGATTCTTTTATCTTTTAAAGCCAGCTTAACTAGGGGAGAGCATGTCATGATTTATGAGATGAATCATTCTGAACACATATTAATGACCAAATCACTGTGATTGCTACTTTCCACAATAATTAGTTATCACATCAAATCACTTTCATGTATTTCATGTATTTTGAAACTGGGTTTTTTGAAGCCATTGAATATAAAGGTGCCAAGCTTCTCTTGTTTAAATGTGATATAGGCTATAAATTAAAAACATCATAGGCAACACACAAAGAATCAGATATTTTCTACAGTTCATGTCTGAGATATTTTTTTTTCACACAAATAAAGCAAAAAACATTAACATTGTTCAGTGGGCTACATATTGATGTGATACCAATACCACAGTTGTTGTTGATAAAAAAAAATAACTGCATGCACATTTATTCTCTTTTTTGGATTCTATGAGCTGTGAAAACCTGTTCCACTGCTTACCTTTCAATTTCTTTTTCTTTTTTAGAGCTATTATTGCTGAGCTAATTCCCAGATGAATAACTGATTTATTTCATTGTTCAGTAGCTAATCTTTACTCTTCAGCTGTTATTTTCTTTTTAAATGTATCGGTAAGCACCTCATTACTCTTTATACTTTACAAAACAACATCGTTTACTGCAAGCAGGTGACAAGTTAATGGAAAAGTCAGTCTAAGGAGCTGAGCTACCACACGTCCACAGAGAAGCCTCAGTGCACCTCGGTGTGGATTCTCCAAGTCTCTGGAAAACTACTGGAGGGATGGAACATTATTCTTCCAAAAGATATTCCCTCATTTGGTGTTTTTAAAGTGGCGTTGGAGAGCAGTGCCGCTCCAAAATCTTCCATAGTTCTTTCGGTTGGTTCTTGAGACACCTCATGCCCTATGGTCAGTTTGGAGGAAACCACTCCTGTTAGGACGGAAATGTTTCATCATAGTGTAAAGGTGTTCTTTCAGAACAACTCTCTGTTCATTTTCAGTGAACCTTCACTGTAAGACCCAGAGTGACTGCAGGCGGAGTAAAGAAAGTGTAGAGAAAGCTAGGAAAAACATAGAAACAAGAGTCTTTATTCTGCTAAAATTCCACTTGTATTCCTTACCTATTGATAAAAACAACAAATTAGTTAGTTTGCTTAAAAATATTATCCCAACTTGCCCGATGAGGCTGTGATGGATGAAACTGTGGATGTCAACAAGACTGTGATTCAACAGATTTCAAAAAGTTCAGTGTTTTTATTGTAATTGGTTTTGATAAATCTTGCCTCTGACATATGCCCTCTATTTAATAATAATTAAAAAGACCAATATTAACAATGAAACTAATAAAAAACTAAACTACAATAAAAACTTCTCATACAATAAAAACGAACTAAACAACAAAACAAAAGCTCAAAATGAAAAAAGTCATATTATAAAATACAAAAGTATAACAATAAAAATAATATTAGTAATAGTAATAAACCCTATAATAGTGCTAACCTGTGATCTTCATTTCAGCGTCTGAAGAGGGGACTGCCAGAAAAACTCTGACTGGAGAGGAGAGAAGCAAAATGCCTCTCAAACAGCTTCAGGTACAAGAATCCCTCAATCCTGCTTTATAGATTTCTCTTTAAATTTGTCATCTTAGGCATCAGGTAGATTCAGAACATTTGTACTACGGAAGATCCGTTTACTTCCAATAAATTACATTTAAATTGGTTTTGAAAAAAATGTATACGTTATACATACAAACCGTATAATATCATTAAATGTAAAATGTAATAATAATAATAACAATAATAATAATAACAATAACATACTTCCGCGTCTGTTCTGTCACGTGACCGTGACATCCTTAAACATGGCGGCAAGCGGTGAACGTGCAGAGATCTCTGTGAGGAAGAGACGTGTTGGCAGTAAGAGAACAGAGCCAGACTCCGCTGTTAGCGGTGGAGAAGATGGAAAACACTCCAGCAGCGACGCAGAGAAAGAGAAGCCGCTTCTGTCCTTACAGCCCGGGACTTACTGGCTCACTCGCATTGTGCTGCTGCGCTCCGTCGCCTTTATTTACTGTATGTTGACACTTACGGTCTGCAGTCAGTGTGTGTGTGTGTGTGTGTGTGTGGTAGTTTAGCTGTAGGGGTTTACTTTTTTATCATTAGCATGACAGTCACAGTTTAGTGCCACGGTATCTTAACGCATGCGCACTTTACTGTAAATAAAACTTGCAATTAGTGAATGTACCTACACGTGTGTTTGGCAGTTTTTTAACTACTGTTATTAATGCTCTGTTAGTTTCTGATAACCATTCATTTGAAACACAGGGATCGCGCAGTCAAGGAAATATACTGATCCCATGAATGTGAATGAGGCAAGTTGTGTAAAGTGCTTTGAGTCTAGAAAAGCGCTATAAGAACCAGTCCATTTACCACATGTTCTGATTTTACTGGTGCTTCTTGCAAAGAGCTGAGCTCACAACCACCACCACCAGCGTTTTACTCACATCATAAATAAGCCCCCACCTGAATAGCTCCTGTCAGGACAGCTGTGCCTCATGGAGAAGTTTGCTCTTTAATTTGAGAAAAATAAACTAATTGCATCTGTCTCACAAACTCATTTGTTTTTTAGTTGTGGCCTTCAGTGTTGCTTACAACCAGAACAAGCAGCTGATTGGTGAACATGGCTTGATGCCCTGTAAGAGCTACCTCAGAAGTGTCAAGCGCTATGTTGGGGGGAAGATCGGAATGGCCGCCATGGCGTACACCCCCTCCGTTCTCTGGTTCTTTGACTGGAGCGACATGGACGCCAACCTGGATGGCATCGCCCTGTTGGGGATGGCGCTGTCAGGGTTTGTCCTGGTGATGGGAATGGCCAACATGGTGATCATGCTCACACTGTGGGTGCTATACCACTCCCTGGTCAACGTAGGACAGCTGTGGTAAGTGTTGGTTAAATCATGCTTTCACTCTCAATAAAACTGGATTAAAGATGTTTTAATGTAGAGCACCTAATCTTAAAGATTGATCAGATAACTTTTTACAGCCAGATTTGTAGAAATCTTCAAAAAACTTTATAGAAGATCTTAAGTTGACAATGACAATAAATAAATACTACTACTAAGTTGTAGCCAAATTTAGTGAGTAGAGAAGCCCTGATTGGAACGTTCTGGGTTGATATTAATGTTTGAAACTATTAGATTTTGAAAAACCATTAATTTACTCCTCAGAATGTAAAATAAGTTTCACATTCCTGCTACAGGGCTTTTAATGTGAAATTAACAGGAAGTGTTGTTAGAAAAATAAAATAAAATATGGGAGCTGGGAGCAGAATTTGAGTAGTCAAACGTGGCTACGTAGAGGGCTGTGCAAAAGTATCAAGCCGACACATTTCTTTACATTTTGATTCAGAATTCTCATTTTTCAGTGATTTCAAACCATATTTTTTCAGGCTTTTCAAAGGTCTCTAAGTATTTCTTTAAGTCCTATCAATCATTTAAGTATAATAAAACGCCTAACTTGCATTTTTAAACTAATAACTGTGTGTGTGTTCGTGTGAGTGACTCAGAAAGAATATGTAGGTTCAGGCGACTTTTACGATGGAATATCTTTTTGCATATTAGTCACTACAAGATTTCAAGTGAATTCATTATTAAGTGTATGCTATTGCTATTGCATAGCATACACTTCAGTTATGATTGGATGTTTCCGTGTTTAAAAAGATAAAATTATGTGAACTATTAATGTTGTAGGTCCTAATTTGAAGCGCTCATGCCCGCGCTTATATTAGCATAAAGCATACATGCATTTAAAAACATTCCCTATAAGATGATCCCACAGTGATGGTTACCATAGTCAGCTGTCAACTTCTCTACTAGACAGCAACTGCATATTTCATTTCTTGTATTCATGTTGTGACTTCTTTTTCCGCAAAGCATTTTGGCTGCCCAGCGTGTTTGATCTCTCCTGACACCAAACAGTCTGTTTCACAGCATTAACCTGCTTCCTTTTTCTCTTTCCAGGTACTCCTTTGGTAAGTGATCTTCCACAGAAGCTTCCTTTGTTTCGCCTCCAAAAAGAAGTGGATTTGAAGGAAAGCATTAATGTGAGACAGGTGTCTGTGTCATTTATATTTTCATAAAAGGTGAAACTGATTTTGTGAGATGTTTTAAACCTGTGTTGAGCAACACTTTTTAGAAAAATCGAGTTACGGGTCACAATTTGAAGAGGTGGATTTAAATAGTGCTAAAGATCATCAGTGTTTGATCCTTGTTCTTAAAAAAAGAAACAGAATTTTAGTGTGTATTATTGTTATTATTATTATTTAGAGTAAAAGTGTAGTTCATGCTGCTTTTTATTAATGTGTTTTTGGTTGAGTGGTTGTTCTTTGGTAATGCGAGGGCCTGATTGAGTCCTTATGTTTGTATTTAGCACATGTTCCTTAAACCAAAAGCACATCTATACTGACACATTGCGTTTATTTAGAAGCCTATGACTGTAAGGTGACTTGACATATTTGTAAAGATGAGCCAGTCTTATTACAAAATTCAGTAGATATCAAGATATGCTGCGAAAAAATCAACTACTTTGTTTGCAGCTTAGAGTGAAAACTTAGTATATTGTTTTTTAACGGGGTGAACCCAATAAACTGTCATGGCTATGATGGTAAAGATGGCGGCGGGGGAAGTATAAACATGAGGTTGTATGTGGAGCTTCGGCCCAGATAAGTGGTGAGGTCAGCGGCAGCGCCGTGATTGCCTAATGACACTTTGTAGTCAGAGACGCCAGGCCTGTGTCTGTGTCTGTGGTTGGGCTGTGGCTTCTATTACCCGAAAAAGAAAATTCCTTTTCTCTCATTCTGCTGCAACTTGGACTCATCATCACACTCTGGCTGACAGTGGAGCTGAAAGTCTGCAGATGAAGGTCCACTGTTCCCATATTAGTGCACTTAGCACTAATATTGGGTTGTTTATAGACATTTATAGACTATAACACTAGAATTTTAATAGGTGATTCCAATTTAAATATTTGTTTTTCTTCAGTGCTTGAAACAATTCCAATCCTAATGAGCATATGCAAACCTAAAAATGTAACGTTATATTTGCTAAACATAAGCACTGTCATTGTGAGCATATTATACTGACACTGCCATTTAGCTTCCAGTAAAATGTCAAAGTATCTCTGGGAAAAAAGCTATTAGGTAGCCCGTAATAAGTGTCTTTGACCAGTCTGCTGGCGACCCATGTCGACATACGGTTAGAGGTGGTTTCATTTTAGCAACATGACTTTTGCAAACTGAAATATTTTACACTTCAAATGATGCCTCATGTAGTCCTGAAATAAGGATTTAACCCCCGGTTGAATTCACAGTTTTAAACACAAAGAAATGAGCAGCTTAGGTCATTGGTTGGTTTATTTCTGTAGTGAAAGACAAATTATCTACAAAACAATCAAGAATGAATCATTCTGCCACAGTTAGAAATTAATGGGAATTTCAGAGAGAGAAATAACTCAAATTGACTACTTGGTAGAGTAGCCGTTGTCAAGCAGAGATCTTTGCTGACCTCGTCGAAATCCTCAAGGCTTTTAGGTTGTGGTTTGGAGATACAAAACTTCAGCTTTCTGTCTCATCTTTAGCGGGTGTCTTCTTGAGCTTTTGACTTTGAAGTATGTTTTGGATCATTGTTTTGTGGGAAGGCCCACCCACGATGCATTTTCAGTGTCCTGGCTGAGTGAAGGACATTCTTATCCAAGACTTTTCCATTTTTTTTCCTCAGTGTGATGCAGGGATTTTATAATATTGGCAGAAAAAGACCCCCAAAACATAATGTTTCCACTGCCATGTTTGAGTGTTTTTAGGGTGGGAGTCAAAAATTATTATCCCGCAAAGTACAGGAAGTGGATTGATGCCATCACAAAATAAAAAATTATAGACTGAGTGCTCAAAATTATGAATTCAGCAGCAAATCAAATACTTACTTCTCTTACTGTACATGCATGACAGTCCTGTTAGAAGCTTTTTCACATATGTATGGCAGATAGGCAAAAGATCCACACACTTAGCCATTAAATAGGTTTGCAGTGACCGCTTTGAGGTTCAGCAGCAAAAACCAATCACATAAAGCTGTGTTTTTGTTTCCCATCACTACTGATATTCACCCTGTTATGGCAATAAGTTGGGGTCACAATACATTAATCGGCTGGAAAATGTTACTCCCTATTTTGGCAAAATTTAGAGTTCCTCTCCAACTTTGACAAAGATGTGCTTCTTCAGTTACATCCTGACTTTGACTCCCAGAAACACAGTTAATGTGGCTTTATCAAGGACATTACCAGACAAACGTGGGCCATTCCTCTCATATTTATTGATATTGTTCCAAATCAGAAATTTGACGTCATGTTGTTTTCTTGGGGCGTGCATGTGTTACTTTGTTGACCTGAAGTGTAATGTTCCTGCACCATTAAAGCAGTATTAGCTCTTCTGTGCTATAACACACTGAGCCTGCGTTAAGTAAAGCAGGTCATTGATGATCTTCTGATTGTTTGTGCAGGTTGGGAGAGTCAGCTGTTGGAGACGGGCTTCCTGGCTATTTTCTTGTGTCCGGTGTGGACTCTGTCCCAGGTTCCCCACCGGTGCCCCCCGTCTCTCATCTGTATCTGGACCTTCAGATGGCTCATTGTTCGCATCATGCTGGGGGCTGTGAGTATAGCAGTTTATAAATACACAGAAGACATGTCTGCAAATTTATAGATCATTTATTGCATGCCGTTAAAACAAGAATACAACTGCTTTGACAGTAAATTGTAGGAAGTAATTTCAAACAAATTCACAATAACTGAAAGATGAATGAGGAAGCTTACCTTTGTCTTCCATTTGTGTGCATATATTTTCTTCCAGTGGCTGTTAAAGTTTTTAAATTAAAAGCCTGACATAAACGCATCTCAGTCATGTGAAGAAATGAAACCGTTTCTGAGCAGCGTGAATGTTTGTCATCGGATTTTAGACTGTTACTTTTGGGTTTTTGCTATTGAGCTCTGCCAGCATCCGGTGATGCCAAAACAAATATACGGTCGACTAAACAATATGTCTCTTTGTTTGACAGTTTCCATGGTGAATTTTAGACCTCTGTCTGTGTTTTATCTGTCAATCACTGTGTTTTCCACAGATTCAGTGGCATTTTTTCAGTTACGACCACAAAGCGAGCTGAAACGCAGGGAGCCCCCTACTCAGCGCTTCACTGTAAAAGGCTCTCATGGCGTATTTCATTCTCTGATGTACAACGTCAGAATGAATGTTGAGTTTTGTTGCTAAGGGCTACCGTTATTTGAAAGCACCTCAGTTATGCTACAAAACGGTCACTGCATAAGCAAAATGAAAGTGCTGTTATTTTTCAGAAGGCATAAGCAAACTTTTAAGAAAAGATTGAGAAAGTTTTTTTTGTTCTGCTCTTTGTGCCACCAAGATACACGTATCTTAACAACTGACTACTGACCAAGGAAACTACTAGAGATCATGGTTTCAAAGGGGAAAATGCAATGACTTTGGTTATTTCCAAATATTTCATTTATAGGCTGACATTTAGGCATTCAGGTAAAGTTTCCTGACAAGTATTAGATATGCAGATATTCAAAACACTTAGAGGAAATGTGATGATGATGATGTCTGGGGCTTAAATTTGTTCACTTTGTTGTTTATTGACTAAATACCTCCAAAATTGTGACTAAAAACTGAGAGTATATTATTTTTGTGTGCAAAAAAGAGAACTGCTATTACTAGTGGAATTATTTAGATTTTAATAATTATAAAATTTTATAATTTTAATCTCAAGTACTTATGACGAGTTGTTCTGTTGCAGTGTGCTGCACAGATATACTGCAGTTTTGATAAAATGCATCAGCTCTGCTTGCTTTCCTCAGTTAAATGAAACCAGCTGCTGCACGTTATTGTTCAGAGTACACAGTGTTAAGTGTATGGATTTATAGCAATGGATGATGTTCTGGGCTTTAGCTTTACAAAATATTAGATGAAATTATTATTGGACCTGATTAGTATCTAGTCAACTGATCACCCTCTGTCTAATTGGATTAGCTGATTAGATTTTGTTGATAATTTATTTTGTAATGTTGTTAAGAATGTCAGAACTTTAAGGTTGAGGTCCAAATAGCATTCACATGCTCCTTTTGTCAGGAAATCAAATCCAGATGATAAACAGTAAACAAAGGAACCACACTGACTGTATATTGTCTTACTTTGAAGCTCTGCTGCACATTTTCTACTATGATTATGAGATGAACTTTCCTATATTTTAATTTTTCATGTGAGACGTCCATCACGGGTTTGATGACCTTATAGTGGGAGAGCTTATGATGGTCCAAACTGAGGTCTGCTTAAACGTTACAAAGACTCAGCAACTTTTCAGCAGCTTTAATTGCAGTGCTGTTCCTCCCACAGTGTTTGATCCACCCTGGCTGTATCTATTTATCCATCTGAAAGCACTGTGGTTCAATGCTGTTCTTTGAATTATATATTTGTGAGGATGACAAAGGTTAGCATGTACTTTTAAGGTCGCTGAAAATATTGGAGATGGGTTGGGTATGAGCCCATCATTTTTTATTTATTAATTTTTTTTAAGCAATGAAATGTCCTACAATGTCGCACAAGTCATTTTTTCCCAATAATAATTTCATAGCACATGCTATTGCTGTAGCATCTAATATTTTTAATATATTAAAAAGGAAAGAATCGGACTATAAATGCATTAACCATATATTATTAATTGGGGTGGGCTAATAAGATAACAGTTTAAATAAATGTAATTTTCCGCTTGTCAGCCTTTACCATTGAAATAAGTACATAAATCATTTTAACATCCTTGATAATAATTTAAACAAGCCTTACCTTAAGCATAAAAATCAATTTAAAAGTATACATAAATGCCTTTGTTTTCTTGCTTAACGTTGTTATATAAACCAGATTTTCCCTGCTAATCTTGATTAGAACCTTCTCCACTGTACCTTCTGTAGTAAGTAATTACCTCATTAAAACAAGGGGAACTTCCAGCACACTTGCACACACAGAAATGCCCCAGCAGTTTATAAAAATATCACATGACCGTATTTTATGCTAAACAACAGTGTTGACATTAAAATGTTGTTGTAATTATTACACGTTTCCCCCTATTTGTTTCCTAATTAGCGTAGCTTAACATATTTAATACATCTTGCACATTGAGGTGGCATGTTAAGCTGCTCGGATGCATTTCAATTTGTGCCCTAGCAGCTTGTGTGCAGCAGCAGTAGACTGTGAGGTTAATCAGGCAGAAAGCTACAAAATGTGAAGCTAATTAGATTTCAGAAGATCGAGTCGGCTCATTAACTATGAAGCTCTGTAAATACTTTAAATATAAAGTGTTTTCACAAAAGGGGATAAAAGCCTCATTTTAAATTCTGATTGATGTTCAGCCTTATAGACATTTAGTCCCTTCTATATCTTAAAGGTAAATTAGATAAGTGACCCTCAAATGAAGTCTCAGTGTTGTAAGATGTGATGCTTTTTCAGTACAGTGTTGGGTAGATACATTTTTGAGTATAAGCATGGTATGCTTACTTGATTAAACTTTTGTATGAGGACTAAATTTCTCATGTTACCAAGAATATTGACAACAAAGTTAAGTAATTGATAATAGATCCTTCATCTTAGCTTGCTAGCTGTTTCCTGATGGTTTAGTTGTAACTTTAAATTAAAATTGGTCTTGAAATGGCCTTCTAAGTTTGTTCATAGTAGAGTTTGATCATACTAATCACTGAGGGTATAACAACAGCCCCCCCTCCGCCCCCCAGTAAATTCCTGAGAGTTTAAAAGCGCCTCTTAATAGATGAAGGCAGTAAAAATACTGGTGTTGATATTTTTTTTTGTCAGAGAATCAATAAATTATTAAGTTCTACTGTTGCGTATAGTGATTGTAAATGCGTTGTATTATAATTTTTTTGCTTGATCAAACATTTCCATTAAACACAGCAGCTGTAGGAAATATTTTGCTAGGTGTGGTTTGTGGCTTAAATTGGCTTTATAGAGTTAACGGTGTGTAACGTGAGCTGAAATCACATTTAGACTTTGGTTCTTGTGTTGCTGACACGTTGATTCGCCCAGACTGTTGGTGCACATCTGGTCGACTGGGATGGATAGACCTTTATTGCCTGTTATAATAAATAGATGTGGGTAACAATGAGTTCAAGGTGTACAAGAGAAGCTGCTCATGATTCCTGGCTGAATGACATTTTGGCTGTAACTGAAGATATGTTTAAGTAGAAGTCCAAATTATTAATACTGAAAGACTGACGTGGATTAAGGCTTTCATACAGTCCAGCTATGAGTCAAATGTAACTCAGACCTAACTTAAGTGTGAATGAGAGCAGCAAGAATGAGCCAAAAGCAATATTGAGATTGTAAAAAAAACCCAAAAAAGATGAAAGACGCTAAAGAGCTGCTTGGTGCTAATAGGAATTGCACTGTAAGATAGTAATTCTGTTTATTCAATAACTGCTAGCGTCAGGTTTCTGACAGCAGTCATTGTATTCATTGCCAGCAAAACAATATTGATTATAGCAGCTTTAACTCTGAGTTCTGAATCATCATAGGTGATAACCCTAACTTTGTATCACAGAGGAAGGCAAACGTGTTTTCTGGGGACAAATGCCAACAGTTTTGGATTTTTCTTTGTTCCCTGAATTATAAGACTTGGGAGAATAATTCAATTAAAAAAAAAAAAAAAAAGAACAACTTTGCAAAAAAATTAAGGAAGTTTGTATCTGGTTGACAATGTTTTGCAGCACTGTTTCTTGGCTATAAGTCTTATGCCCCTGTATCTACATATTTTCCCTTTAAATGGAGCCACATTCGTAGGGAAAATACATTTGTGGGCTGCAACCATGATACGTTTCTCTGTCAGTGCCAAACAGCTTATTCGGTTATTGAATCTTGTTTTGAGCTTCTGGTACTCCAGGTGCAGCTAATTGGGTGCCTGACTGGCAGCTTGTGGACCCTGCTACAGGGGTTAGTTGGCATCTGCTCCAAGGATGCCTTGTTTACCAGGATGCCACGTTTGATTGATCTGGAGAGGCCATAGGGCAACTTCAGGCTGGTGTTCCACAAAACAGAGTTGGAAAATTATTTGGAGTGAGTTCTAGTACCATCTCCAAATTGAAGTCGAGTTCTATATAACTGGGAATGTCAGAGACGGGCTTTATTCTTCTGGTGGTGTTGTCTCCCAAAGAGACCTGTCAGCACTTAGGAACCGTAGGCAGTGTTCTTCAAATTTATAGTCAAACTTTGAAGGAAGATACGGCCGACGACTCTGCCCAAACAATCCACGAGAGATCACACACAATCCATCTCTGCTCTCACAGTCCTGCCAGGAGGCCTTCCATGACTGCCCTGCACCATCAGGCCCATTTGTGCTTGTGTCGACAACACGTGCACTGGAACATGTCTGCAGTCCTGATCTCAACCCCACTGAACACTTGTGGGATCACCTTGGGTGTGCTGTTCGTGCCAGAGTGACCAACACAACAGCACTGATCTCAAATGCTGGCTGAACAGTTGGATGGCATCCCACAGCAGTGTGTGACCAAGTAGAGGTGTCAGGCTGCTGTGGCTGTGTATGGCTCTTCCACATTCTACTTGTTAAACTGCCAGTATGTCTTCTTTCTTCAGACTTTAATCATCCTAAAAATGACACCAAACAAGAGTCAATAGGAGAATAAGCTGTTTGCCATTGGCAGGGAAGATCTGAACAACCCACATACTCTGCTCTCCTGCTCAATGCACAGATGCATTTTTCTTACAGGGGCACCATTTCCAATGGTATACAATTTATTGCTAAAAAGCATAGTTACAACAAAATAATAATTGATAAAACACAAATGTCCTTAGTTTTTGTGCTAAGTTTAGATATTATGATTGCCTAGGGTCTGGGTTAGAGTTTGGATTACAATCATGCTTGGGCTTTTAGTCAAGGATGCCTTAAACCTCCTAGAGTTAAGCCTTTAAGCTCATGACAATCAATGGACTGAAAATGTTTGATGATTCATTACCATTGTGTCATTGGCATATGTTGATGATATTACTATTTACTTTTGATAAGTGGCTTCCTGTTTGACTTCCAAGAAAGGCCTTCTTAGAGTAACAGTATGTTTTCATTCATGTTGGAAAAATGCCATGTCAAACAAAGCAATGTAGCACCAGTACTGCTGTGGCATTAACACCACAGTTCCTCTTCTCTCCTGTTTTTATAGTCAGATTTTCATTGTTTGAATCCAATGGATACATTTGTATCCAATTTTCTTTCTTAATAAAATTTTGAGCAGATCATAGTTGTGAAAGGTTGAATCTCTCTGGTGTTCTTTGCTGAGTTTACAGGTTCATATCCTTTCCCTAAGGCCTCTTGATACTGAAGAGATATCTGTTTATGTCAGAGGCTTGTATGTTGGGTAGTAATTGATGACATTTCAGAATCTCATGACTGAATTGAATTATCAACAACATCTTCGGCTTCATCACCTCAACAGCCAGCAGCCAAGTTTGTAATCAGAAAGAAATGTCCTGGTTTTTGTAAATCTGGTTAGAGGTTAGCAGGCGATTTATTCCAAATTCCACGTCGACCACATGACAGGCCGATGTGTCAATATTGACACTTGGGTCCTGGATAGTGTCCTGTTTGCTTAATTCAGTTGGTGGAAAACAAGCCCTGACATTGCATTTCTCTGCATTTTGGGCTTAGTTTGAATCATTTTTTTGTTTTTTCTTATTTTATTAAGGGAAAATCCTCAGTGAGGGACTATGGTTAACTTTTTATTACAGTCATAATCTGCATCATCAATTTAGAAATACCATGGACTTCTAACAACAGACTTGTGATTCAGTAGCATGACAGTTTCTTTTGGCCAAAAACACTCGTAGAGCTCCATAGGCTTTCCCCCCCCCCCTGTATTCGTCACCATACTTATTTTTTTAGCACTGACTCTGTTTATAACTGAATCTTCTGAGGGCTTCTTCCCAATTTGAGGCATTAGCACAACAGGGCTGCACAACTGTGAGCTGGTATTGAGTAGAGAAGGTCAGAAAAGCTAATGATGTTTTCAGACAACAAGCAAATTAGATTTGTTGTGTCAGATTTGATCTTTGGTGGTGGATCCCCACTTTGTATTGTGTCTCTTGTTGTGCTTAAAGTGTGTCAGCCACTGAGGGGCTTAAGTATCTTGTCACTTCTTAGATATGGCTACATGCTATCCTGTTTGTTACAGTGTAGCATGTTAATGAATTTCTTCTCCATAAAGCATTTGGTTTATTTAGGCTCTGAACATACACCGGATGAGTGTGATTTTAGTGATGCCTTAAATTTTCCACTGTAAGATTCATATTTTTGTTCTTTTGGTTGATATTTTAAAGCATTGGTATTATCATGGTGCCCTGATAATAGACTGAAAGATTGATAAAACTGCAGTGAATGTCTTCGTTTTGAAGCCTCAGCTTTATTTATTGCTGTCGCCATTGTGGATTTTTGGAACCAAAAAAATTACTATATCAACAACCCCAATTGTAACATGTGAATAGAAAACAGTCTCAGAAACCCAAATTTAATTCCCAGTGGAACATTAAGGAAATAGTCATTTTGAATTTAATGGCAGCAGCAAGTTAAACTTGGCGTTTAGGTCAAAGGCTGAGCCAATGCCCAGTTTTACAGAGCCACTAGCATGTTTTATACACATTACATATATATGAATATGTAAATTTGATGTTATTATTTATTATAGCTCTCCAACGGCGTTATTATTAACTGGTTCATGTTGAACCATTTCCTTTTGAGACAGATTTTTAGTTGTCATGTGCTGACATCCATTAAGTCCAGCTAAACACAGAAGTGCTTGCTGCTGTGAAGTTTGAAGTATACTGAGGTTGATGTAGCACAAGTTTTATGTTTTGTCTTTTCAGGGTCTTATAAAAATCAGAGGCGACAAATGCTGGAGAGACCTCACCTGCATGGACTATCACTATGAGGTGCGTATGTTGCATTTAATGTACTCCCTGCATGTCCAGCTTCCTGGTTCTCAGTGTTCTGTTGTTGTAAATGCACAGTGCAGCCTCAAGGCCCTTTGACATTTGACACGGCGTGCGCTGCACTCACCCTAACTAGAGTGAAGGACCCAAAAATTGCAGCTGCTCTACGTGTACTACATGCGCCTGCTTCTTGTCACTTCCAAACATGTATCTCTCTGACTTTATATCCTCTAGAGAGTTTGTGACGTATTATGTTCAAATGTTTAATAAAAAAATGTATCGCTTATTCATAAAGACTTAATCTTTGTAACTATCCCGATTAGTGAAGAGTGTGTCGTTTACACAAGACGTCTTTGCCCCCGAGGTCCTCAGAGCCATTGGAAAGGCTTTGGAAGTCCCTGTATATGCATATGAATGTTTTCCTTCATTGTGTGGCTGAACTTAGCGCAGCATGCTTCGTTTCTATTGGCTGTGTGAAGGTACGTCACAGCAGAATGCGCACAAACAAAAGACACGAATGGGTTTCAAAGGGCCTTCAATCCTCACAGGTTCACACTTGTTTCCTTCACACTAGAACCCCTTGGTGGTTCTAGGAAGTTTGTTAAACATGTTCTGTGCAGAACACAGATTAAAATCCCACGTTTGCTTGCGTTCTGAGTACAGTGCAGGAGCCGCTGCAGTAACGACCTCCTACAACCAAAGATTTCACCTAAGCTATCATATTACAAGTGTCCAGCAAAACCAGAGTCGCTTTTAAATTTCCCAAAGGCCCGTTTTCTTCAGCAGTCTGAACGTCTCAGTCTGATTGATATATAAAAACAGTGAACCTTGGCTTCGTCTCCTGGATGATGACAAAGCTGCAACAAACTCACATCAGGCTAACCACAGCAGGGCAGCACATTACAGAAACCGCTGTTGTGGGATTCAATAAATCAAACTCTTACACTGAGTGTGAGGTTGTGCAAATCCAGTGTTTGTTTTTCCCTCGGTGGGACACTCGACCGCTCTAACCAGCACTGCTCGATGTTAGCGGGCCACAGAGGGAGGAGGACCTTCTTCTGTCTTCTGTAATTAACATAGACAGGAATATTCTGGCTCCCATGAGACTGGATACATCAAGAATACTTCATAGATATTCACCCAGCCGAAAATACAATAGGAAGGGAGGTTAGGTTGTAACACACAGGCTTCCATGGAGTTGATAGCTAGTGATGTGTAGGATTATAATGTGGAAGTATAAAGCGCTTACATTTTTATCCTTTCTAATTATGGCTTTTCCTTCTTTCTTTCTTTGACTCTTCCTTATAAAATTTTCCTAGATTTTCCCACAGTTTTAGCATTCATTGCCATACAGGGCAGCAGAGTTTGTGAGGCCAAATATTTTCCACTGTACAAATTTCACAATTTCATGTGTATCGAAAATGTTGAACTGTCTTAACCTCAACTAAATTGATCAAATGTCCTGTACATTGAAAAAACAACATCAGTTAATTCTCCCCATGTTCTGTGTATGAAATAATTATACTCTCTGTTCATATGTCATGTGATTACCATTACATCATAAAGAAAACTCCCCTAAATGACCTTGTTGTTACCAGAAAGATGGGTTGGTTTTTTTTCCTCTTCCTTTTGATACCTTCATTTAAACTTGTAAAATGTAAAAATAGTTAAAGTTGAACTGATCTGTTGGTTAAACTGTTGATTTTCAGTGTGCTCAGTAGTATTAGGGGCACACAGCTGTTACAGCTAGAACAATGTGAGCCAGATGTTGACCAATTTGAGCAATCGAAGGTAGATGATGTTTAAAATCTCTGAACTGTTAAATTCAAAGTGAAATTCTGCTTTGCTAAGTTCAGTACACACAAACAATAAACACAAGCTTTAAACAGCTCCAGGTTTAATTAGTCTGGTGTGACCAGTAGCTTATTTTAAACTGAGGCTAGCATTAGCTCCACTGACAGTTCTGAAGCTTCAGTCTGACTGCTTTGGTTGTCGCCAATATCAGGCTGAAAGGGTCCCCCTAACTCCAGCTGCATGGATTATAAAAAGCTTTTTTTTTTTTTTTTTAAATTGTGTTGAAGGGTGAAAACAACTTTTATAATGACTGTGAGTGTATAGGGGTCAATCTGCCTCTAGGTACTGGCACTTGCTGATTTGTTAGTTCAGGTAAGTGATGAAGTCAAACATCTCACATCCAATTGGCGTGTCTCGTATGCAGCACACTGCTGAAACTGCTTCAGCCTGCTCACACTTTCATTTCAGCTGGAAGCTCCTTTGCAGCCCACTTGACATGACCTGCTGTCATTGAAGTCTGGTCTCTTCTGCGATGGCGGTTGTGCTGCTGCTCTCTCATCAGGTTTTGAAACATATCTATATAAACTATACCAATTAGAAATGACCACAAGTGGAAATGGCCGTCTTATTTTAACTGTAATGATGCATGACAGCGCTGGTTCAGTTCTCAGAGCTTGTGACTGTTGTGTAGCTGTATGTAGCTTTGTTTGTAGCCTCAGCTACTGTGCTCACTGTATCTTGCTTGAATTATTAAATAAACTATAGATGCCTGCGGAGGCAATTCTTTAGCTACATGACAGTTATTTAAGGTTAGTGTACCAGAAAATGAGTTTGTAGGATGATTTGTCAGGTATAATGTGGAGCTTATTCCACGCTGGGTCACTTTCCCTTTCCTGGTCCAATTTCAACAGTTAGCAGCCTACGTTGTAATGTAGACACACACGCACGCACACAGGACCGGAAGCCAGTGGTGCCAGGTGAACCTTATTAACCCCTCGGACACAGTGCTCCCTTTCAGATGAGCAGAGGAGCTGCAGATCTCCTCCTGTCCTGACTCTCGGGGGGCTGTGTAGCTGTGTTTCAGCATAGTTGCTGTTTTGTTTGCCTCTGTATGTTTGTTGTAATAATGCTGGTTTCCAAGTCCTGTGGGGTTGTTTGGCTGTCTGAGGTCGCAGGCCCCTTGCCCTTAGTCTTCCAGGGGTGTTTCAGTAAGCTGCAAGTTTAATAACCCCAATTTTCTGCAACATAAAAACAATAAAGGTTTGGATTAGGATGCCAACTGTCTTGTTTTCATTTTTCCTACGCCTATTCCTGTGCTATATTTATTTTTCACTCCCTGTAGCAGTTTGCATATTCAGCTTTTACATAGCAACCAGCTCATGCACGCATAATTTGCCAGTCTGTGTGTGTCCTCTGGGGGTTTTTTTTTTGGGGGGGGGGGGGGTGCGCATAGGTGTGGTTGCTGTTATTTAAATAGGTTTCCATCTTTATTTAGACATGGAAATGTTTCCCTCAAGGTGTGACACTATAAATTAATTTTCATCCCATCTCAGACAGTTATTGCCAAAGTAAATCCGAAAAACTTCCATCTTAAGCTGTGAGCAGACGGTGTTTGGAAAATGTTTGCAGATCAGAAAAACTTTGCAGAACTTCAGGGAGGAATCCATTCATTAAAGATGAGATGCTACCGTGGCACTTGTCACCTTGACCTTGAGTTTTTTCTCTGTGCAGACCCAACCAGTTCCCAATCCCATGTCCTACTACATTCACCGCTCTCCGTGGTGGTTCCATCGCTTTGAGACCTTGTCGAACCACTTTGTCGAACTCATCGTCCCGTTCTTCACTTTCCTCGGCAGGCGGATGTGTATGGTTAATGGAGCAATCCAGATCCTTTTCCAGGTAATTTACACTGTTCACAAGCCACAGAGAGCAATGAGAGCAAAGGCTGAATGATGATTGATGTTTATGGCAACTGAGATAACGATCTTAACGGTGGTGCCAAGGTAGTAATGATTAAGAGGGGAAAAGTCAAACAATAATGAAATATAAATGCACCTACTAATGTGATGTTGTTGGCTCTGTTTTGGAAACACTGTTCCTGTTCAGTGTTTGCACACACACAGGTTTAACCAAGGCGGGCTGCTCAGATAGATTTTATGTCATTTTATTTTTCCTTCCTTGAAAGTCCCCTTACTCTTTGAACTCTGAAAGTTAATGGCTTTAATGTTGGGATGTTTAATTGCATTTAGCTATGTTATCCATTACTGTACACTTAAACTGAATCTGTGCCTCATGTATAGCCTGTGGTAGGCTCCCTGGTAGCCTACACGAGGTGAACACGAAAAACAAACAGGATTTTGAGGTATTGGTGCTGCCCTTCATTTTGTTAGAGCTCATTGGGTCGTTCATTTCTTTAAAAAAAACGTTTTCCAGCTTTTGAATTGGTGCTGAAACACTGCTGCATCATCTCTCCTCACTGTGCCTTCTCTCTCTGTCCCATTATTTTGGGCTGCAGGTGGTTTTGATAGTGAGCGGGAACCTTAGCTTTCTGAACTGGCTCACCATCGTTCCCAGTTTGGCCTGCTTTGACGATGCATCGCTGGGCTTCTTGTTTCGCTCTGGGGCTGGAGCCAAGGAAGCAGTGCTGGAGATACAGAGTGAGGATTTAGCTGGACGCACCCCAGCACCTACCAAAGGTATGCACATCCCAAACTGTGCAAACGCAGGATATTGTTGTCTACTTATGAATTAGAAATGTTGGTATTCAGCAGTACAGACTGACAAGGCTGCATAGCATCTGGTTGTGCTAGAGAAGGAATTATGGGAATAAAAAGGATTAGCACTTGGAGAGCTGAGTAGCTGGGAAAAGAATGACATCAAGTTTGTTGGAATTTAAAGTAACGCCACTTACATTTTTACAATACAGACTGCTGAAACTGTGGTAAAAGTGTGAGAGTGGCCCCACTCTAATTGGTCCCACTGGACCTATTAGTGTCTTTGCTTCACTGTAGCATAGTAAATATGAAATAACCTGGTACCTGGAGTGTGGGCCTATTTGAATCATTTGAGCAGAGCCAGAAAGTTGGTCCTGGTGAGAAATGATTGTGGGTAGCCTGATGTGTTTAACATGTGTTGGGCCAGGCAGAAAGGTAGGAAGGAACTGATGCAGACTTAGCAAATGTTTGCCAGTACCAGCTACCCCGGCACACATCGTCCACACCTTTTTTACTAAGAAATTGTTTCACTGATCACAAACACATGCAAACACGCCGGCTCACTCGTTAATGCCAACCTCCACTGCTCCAGGCCAGACACTAATAAATGTGTCACCTTGATTTAAGGTGCAGTTTTCCGGTACAGGTTTGGGGTGAATACTCGTTTTTTTGGCTGAACAGGAGCGACAACATGCATGTGCAGTTTCATATTTAGCTGAAATGGAGCAGATGACAGAGAAAGCAGTGGGCTCTATCCAGTGACAGAACATTAAGATGCATTTAGAAGTTGTTTTTGTGTGCGTGCGTGCGTGTGTGTGTCTGTGTCAGGTATGTTGATTCGTCGGGTGGTTAACATATCTTTGGGCATTCTGATTGGCTGCCTGAGCATCCCTGTGGTGACGAACCTGCTGAGTTCCAGGCAGGTGATGAACACATCCTTTGACCCGCTGCGCATTGTCAACACGTACGGAGCGTTTGGCAGGTACAGCCAGAGGATCCGAGAGGAAACGCATATATTAGCAGACATATTGCAAATTTAACATTTTTGCATACTAAAGAAATTAGTGAAATTTTAAAAATGTGATCCTTTTATTCGTTTTATTTAATGTTTCCTCTCCTTCTGTTCAGCATCACTAAGGAACGTACTGAGGTGATTTTCCAGGGCACTCTGAGCCCAGATCCCAAGGACCCTGAAGCATTGTGGGAGGAGTACCAGTTCATGTGCAAGCCGGGGGACGTGTACCGTCGGCCGTGCCTCCTCTCGCCGTACCACTATCGACTGGACTGGCTCATGTGGTTCGCTGCCTTCCAGGTGAAACCTCACTACAGCATTTTTCATCCTAATGTTGATAAAGAGTTTGAATGTATTAATATTATTGTTGCTATTATGGCTGTTTATATCTAAATGTAATCAATGTGGAAAAGCTTTAGTACCCCATTTCCAACACCGGGGGGCAGTGTTTCCACGATAGTGCTGCACGCTTGTTTTAAATCAAGCCAGAACTGTCGTGTTTGCCCTTCAGGCTTCATTTGTGTGTCTCTGTCTCCCTGTATCTGCTCATTATTTCCCTTTTTCTCTCTCACAAACACACATTAAATTCCCTTGCCTCCTCTTTCTCACTTATTTGATTCCCAGTGTGACTCGTTAAAATTCTCCTCTCTCCTGATTTCTGTCTCTTCCTCGTCCTCTCTTCTTTCCGTCTCCTTCTCCTGTGTTTATTTCAGTTTCTAACACATTGTTTCCATCTGTTCGCTCAGACCTACGAGCAGAGCGAGTGGGTGATCCACATAGCAGGACGCCTGCTGTCCAACGACAGCACAGTCCTCTCACTTCTCGACCACAACCCGTTCCACGGCAGAGACTCACCCAGGTAAACGCACACAGTCTACACCAGCCTCACCAAAACACTCCGTTAAGTTTGGGAAAGTCCTCAGAAAGCTACAGCTAAACTTAGACGCTGGTAAAAAAAAAAAAGGGATAAGTCCAAAACCACACTCATTCACACAGCTGTGAGCCACCACAATGGCTCTGTGGAGCTGACTCCTGCTCCTCAGCTTAAGTACTTCCACTGCTGATTGCTGAGTGGAGTCGCTTCAGTAGCGCTTCACAGGAAGAAGAGAGCAACTCACACGCACACAACCTTTAGAGATGTAACACAACCATCAAGGAAAAGTGTGTATTATGTGTACAATGTTCACCTGCACTGGTCTCTATCATCGCCAAACCATTTTTAGCCAGCAGTGGAAGGATAGGCACATAACTAGCTAGTTGAGGCATGCTAAGTAACTAGCTAACCGGGCAGATTTTTTTCAGGCAGTTGAATCGTTTAATAACAAACACTACATTGTTCCTCAGTGTTTTAACGTGCATGAACACCAGCGGCACAACATGCTGGTATGACCATACTGTATATAAAAGATGGACAACACGCACTTTGTCGTTACACAGTGATTAGTTAAGTTCTGTTGTTGCAGCTGCAACTTTTTTCTGTCGTTCTTAAATCATTTGTAATGTTTTTTTGGTGATTTGTGTTGTGTGTTGTACAACAAGTTCTTTGGTCAGTGTCTGTTGTTTTTAAATGTGCTATATAAATAAACTGGACTATTTTCAATGTCACCATCTCGGTGTTTTAAAAGCAGATGTGAGGATTGACAGGAGGACTGCTCATTGACTTGTGATTGATAACACAGGTCTGCAAAAAAGCTTTTTCAGCTCCATGGAATATTTTTGGTAAATTGTATCTTTTTTAGGGTGCTGAATCCAAAAATGATCTCAATTTCCCTCCATCACATACATTTTTTTTTTTTTTTTTTGCAAAACATGAGTTTACCTTAAAAAAGCGATGAAAAAAAAATCTATATTTCAGTATTGTTTTCTAAGATTCCTTACCTTTTGCTCTGAGCAAAACAAACCTAACAAACTCACTGTTGTTGGTAGACACAGTATTATAAGCCCTGAAGAATGTACGCTGACGATAAAAATCATTACTTCATGTGAACGCAGTTTTGGGCTCTTCTTCCTTGCAGGTGGGTTCGGGGAGAACATTTCAGGTACAAGTTCAGCCAGCCAGGCAGTGCCAGCGCAGCACAGGGCAAGTGGTGGCTGAGGAAACGCATCGGAGCTTACTTCCCTCCTGTGAACCTGGAAGGACTCAGGGGCTACTTCCAATCCAGGAACTGGCCCCACCCGCATTTACAGCGGAACAGAAAGTAAAGCCGTGAGCTCTGAAAGTCACTGTGAAGAAGGGTGGGATTCGATTTCATGAAGAACTTTTTCATTGATATCGAGCATCCACACATTTATTCCCACATGATGTGAGGGTTTTTGTAAAGCTTTCAATTAAAGGTGGGAAGTTGCCCGCCTTTGTATATCTGAATGAGTGCAGTTTCTATATTAAAAGGGATCTACACATATGTAATGATCAGCTTTCCTGCTTTTTCTTGTGTGTTTGGTTCATGCAGAGAGATGTCCCACCATATTTGTGTCTGTTCCGACAGTCTTTTAGATAGTTTGGTCATTTGTGTCACTACAGATGTACTCATACGAGACACATGTTATGCAGATGATTCACAGATCTACCTCCCACTGAAACGCAAATCTGTGAACCCTCTGAAGAGATTGTTCGATTGTCTGGAAGATGTTAAGATATGGATGACTTTAAATCTTCTCAATCTAAATGAACAGAAACCTGAGATCATTGTCTTCGGCCCTAGTGACCATTACGACCTCGGCCCCTTAGAAAATTATAAAAAAACCGTTTGCGAGGAATTTAGGTGTGATTTTTGATTGTAATTAAACATTCAATAAACAGATAAATAATGTGATCAAGACCAGCTTCTTTCACCTCCGCTTACATGCAAAGGCGAAGCCATTTCTCTGCTTCAGAGACTTTGTGAAAGCAATCCATGCCTTTATTTCATCTCGCCTCTACTCTGGTGTTACTTCGTCATCTATTGGCCGGCTAAAGCTGGTTCAAAATGCTGCGGCAAGGCTTTTGACTGGCAAGTGGAAGAGAGAGCACATATCCCCTACACTCGTCTCGCTGCACTGGCTGCCAGTAAGGTTTCGAATTGATTTTAAGATCTTGACACTTGTTTTTAAAACATTGCATGGACTAGCTCCTATATATCTTTCTGATCTTTTAAATTGATATACTCCGGCAAGATCTTTGAGGTCTGTGGCCCAAATGCTTCTGGTTGTCCCAGGTCTAGATTAAAACAGGAGATTGGGTATTTTGCTGTGACTGCTGCGAAACTGTGGAATAAACTGCCTTTACATATCAGGACCTGCAACACTGGATACTTTTAACCTCCTAGGACCTGGCGTCCACATCACATACAACGTTTTTCTCTACAAGGGCCTGATATCCACTTACGAGGACATTATACTGCAACTGTTCTATTGAAATTTAAAGCGAATGTCCTCATGTGTGGATCAAATTTTTCTCAGAAACAAAAATCAGGTAAAAAAAATAAATTAAAAAAAATCTGGTAATTCTTTATTTTTAAATTCATCAGGTCATCATTCATCAATCAGCTCAAATATCAAAGAAATTTAAAATGCATGCCATGAAAGAGTTCGGGTCTCAGGAGGTTAAAAACCCATTTTTACTCTTTGGCTTTTAATTCTGTACGAGTCTGTCATTATTTTATTCTTATTTTCTTATCTTTTATTTTACTTTCCTTTTTAATTTGATCTGATTATTTTATTGTACAGGTCAACAGTTGTTGTTTTTAAAAGTGCTATATAAATAAATTGATTTGATGGTTGTGTTGTACCAACCATGACTGCAACCCCTCCACTGTGTATTCAAACTGTGCTGAAGGGTCCAGGAGCAAGTAAGCATCACTTTCACAGTTAGCGATCACACTACTTATATTGCTCGAGCCAGCTGATCTGTACACAGCAGTTACTATGAAATAAGCTAGAATACTTCCACTGGGTACAGTTCACCAGATCATGTGAGTCTGCTTTTAGTAGCTTGTCTACAGTTAAAACAGTGTCAGCTAAAACTGAACTTGGGCAGGTGTAAAACAGCTTTTGTGCTCATCCAAGAAATCAGCCGTGTCATTTCATTCTGTGATGTAAAAGCTACCAGTAACTTTTACATGCAAGTGTCCTTTGGCAGTAAAGTTGATGCACAGATCTATTGCATTACCTAATGAATTATTGTGTCACTAAACTTGTATTTACAAGGATGTTTGTGCTAAAATGAAGTCATTTTATGGCCTAAAACCAGAAATAAACGACAATAAAACAAAAATAAATGACAGACATGACATTAAGTCAGACGATATTGTTGAAAAAAGTTAGAAGTGGTTTGCAAAGTAGCTTGCAGAAAATGTGGGCAGGTTAAAGCGGCTTAAACGGGGTAGCCATAGCAAAGCGTCGGAGCAGGGCATCTACAGATCAGAAGGTTGGTGGTTTGATCCCTAGCTGTGCCATCTCCAGGTGTCATTGGGCAAGATAATAACCCTTAGTTGTTCTCCAGTTCATCCATTGGTGCATTTACCATTAAAGCAATTCAGTCTGACCGTGAGGCCTGACTGTCGGTCAGAAGGTTGAGGTTTCAAGTCCCTTAATGGTTGTCTTTTCACACTTTTACTGGGAATATCAGATAACCTGCCAGTAATGGAGGAGTCTGATTTTCTGGACTGCCGCTACGCTCAGTTAAATATCACAATTTTTTTTTTTTTTGCAAAAGTAGGTATAAAACTACTGCTGACAACCAGGCAACAACTAAGAATGATAAAGTTTCATTGATCATTTTGTCAATGATTTGTTCGTTGCTATGTAGAAGCCCTGTACCTTATCACTGCAGGATTTTCTTGAATACCATACTTGGACTTTTAGATTGTGATGCCTAATATCTTGTTGAGTGATGATTTCTCCTTTTTTTTTTTTTTTTTTCCTGTTTTGGCTCTGAAATGAAGACCGCTCCTGGTTGGATCTACAACTGTTGGTTATTGATTATTCTTCAGCTCTGAAACACATTTATTATCTGGAGGCCTCACAGAGTTTTGTGAAGCGATGTGACCGATGTGATTAATTCTCCATCGAAAATACGCTTTACAAACTTCAGAGGAGCGTGTTTATGGTTGCAGTGAAATATGGAGAGTTCTGAAAGTCTTGACGGTAAAATATTGGACAAAACAAGCTGGATTTGAACCAATAAATCTTTCCTCCATTCCGCGATGAAACCGCTTTGGCCTGTGTTAGTGGGTCATTAATCTGTCAGCCTGAGCGTTCAGCATCCGCTAAGGTCTGAGTTACGTCTTTATGTTACAGTCACGATTTCTTAGGGCTGCTTGACTTATAATTATATACAAGGTAATTGCATTTATTTAATAACACGAGTAGATATCAGAGATGTGAGATGAAGGTGGGGAAAACATGTTTCTATGCAAATGAAAATAACCTGTAGTAACATAAATGGCCTCTAGATGGTGATGTTCACCATGTTATCAGCGTAATTAGGTCTTTGTGCTTCATTCTTCCAGATTCACTGCTTCACAAATATTTTTTCTCAAAGGGAATCAATCTACCGTGTGTGTGTGTGTGTGTGTGTGTGTGTGTGTGTGTGTGTGTGTGTGTGTGTGTGTGCGCTACGCTGCTATTCAGGACCTTTTGTTGGTACGGCAATCCTTTTATCTGTTAGTGACAAGTTTCCAGATTCATCAAAGACTGCCAGGTGTCTGCGATTTTTACACACATTCTTTGGCGTTGTATTCTCCTCACATGACAGATATTATTCAGAGTTGCTTTTATGCTACCTTTTCAGTATCTGTACTGATGTTTAAATATAAACATCAATGTTTCCCTCCAACAGCTGTGTAAAGTACCACAAATCATCTGTTTAAAATTTTTAGAAAGAGAGCAGGAATCATGATTTGTTTTGGTGTACATGACAAAGTGGATGTGTATTTTTTTGAAAAATGAACACATACACTGTGGCTGACAAAGTAATTTCCACCTTGCTTGCTTCATGGATAAATAATAGCTTCCCTTCCTGATGATGGAGGGTGCACCATTCCCTGGAGAACTGACTATGACTACTGTGTATCCTGTGTGGACCCATATTTTTCATTATTTTCATCATTAAATAATAAAAGCTGGATATAAAAAAAGGTGCGCGACTAAACAGTGTTTCCTTTTATTTAATGTAATGAAGTCGTTCATAACAGAGGAGCAGCCATCTGGTTAATGCAGAATGAATGAGGCTGCATGTTGTGTTCTTATAATAAGACCACATATTGTTTTGGTTTGAAATTTTTTGTAAAAGCCTCTTTTATACTATATGGGGGGGGGGAACAAAAAACAACAACAACTAAACAGTAGGGCAGGGGTGGGGGTTGGTAGCTAGCTACAAGTCTCAGCACATATTGACATAGCTAGCTGACTGTGTTCAGCCATGTTCCCTTTTAACCATTTTAAACATTTCTTCATTTAGTTCACAGTGTTTAGTTAAGTTATGTTTATAAATGTCATAATTACATGCTTAATACATCTATGGCGTTTCTTTCTCAAATAGCAAACTCTTCAGGTCCAAAAGGCTCCAAAATGCACTGACATGACAGTCAGTCATTTTTTAAGTTTATCTAATAGAAAAAAAACATTGAACTAATTGATGTACATCAATTAGTGTGTAATTATGCTTTCCTTGAAATTAAAGCATTCTCATTAAAGCAGGTGCCAGTTTGTGGATACCGCCATGTTGCTCACCCATCTTGAATACAAGGACCGAAATTGACCTTCCCATTCTGCCTTTTATGTATGTGGCTGGAGACCAGCAATATACAGAGCACACACGAGAAGTTGCCTTCAATCTAAAGATCAGAAATAGCTTTTTAAAACTATATATGACATTTGAATATTTATATTTTCATCATCTCTCCTCCCTCTTTTCCACCTCATCAACTTCCTCCTCACCTCTTATCTCGTGACCTGAAGTCAGAGATCAAGTACTTGCATAAAACATGCATAAACATGCTTATTTATTCCCATATTATCATAATGACTTGCTGTCCATAGATTTGACATGTGATTCCCCCTCACCCCTCACCCCGCGCCTCAGGGCAGCTGACAATGAGCCAGCTTAACAACAACAACTAGAATTATAGCAGCTAATGGCTTGAATGTGATAAACAGTTTGATTACATTCTCACATTGTAGAAAAGTTTATTTGATAAGTGCCCAAGTTGAGAAAGTTAGCCAACTGTTAGCAGTTAGCTGACTGACAGGAAAGCTATTATCAACAATACTCCTCAGTAACGCTGTCATCAAGCTTCACTAAATAACCAACTCGCACTGGACTCATTTCACAGTGTTTTACAGCCTCCTCCGGAGTAAATAGACATGATTAACTGCCATATTCAAAGCTGAGGTAAACAGCAGACTGACACTCACTACAGATGGCCA